TTTTACAATCATTCTTTTTATAATAATCATCATAAAAAAAATATATTTCTTCCCCTAACCCTTCTCAGATTATTTAGTTGGAGATTTTTTTTATTTTTTCCTCCTTTTATAAATAAATACATGACTTAGATAAAATGTGATGTTCTCCTTTTTGTTTTTAATGGTGTTTATAATTTTATATACAATAATTTTTATGTTATTCTTATAAAAAATGTGTTTTATTAAGTCCTAATTGTCATTATCATAATATAGGAACATATGAATCCATATGGAAAGGGAGATAAGAGGTCAAGGAAGGATCAATCACCTTGGTTCATGATATGGATAAGGCCCCAACACTTTTGAAGACATGGTATGAAAGCATGATAAATCATGGGAAAGGAATGATGTTCAAACACTTAGGATTTCTACGAAGACTTTTGTATGTTGAGTCACGACGAGACTTGATAGAAACACTAGTACATTTTTGGGACCCATTAAAAGTGTATTTAATTTTTCTGGCTTTGAACTCACCCCCACACTAGAAGAGATAGGGGAATTCATAGGATTGGGTAAAAATCTTCACATAGAAGAGCCGATACCAAAACATATTAATGGGAGGATATTTTAAGAGTTACTTTACATAAATGAGAATGATATGGCAGAAAGGATGGATTCATGGTATATGGAAAGAAACTTCTTAATAATGGGTGTCATTTGAACTGGAAAGCACACAGTTATGATGCCTTCGTAGTGGATTTTTTGCGGATCATGGTACTTATAAAAAAAGGAGGAAAGATCAGCATGAATTTGGTTAGAGTTATTACAACTTTTGAGAAAAAATCTAATATCACCCTCGTACTAATGGTTTTGACAGACATCTATCGTGTCTTAACAATTTGCAAGGATGGACAAGACTACTTTGAGAATGCAATACGTTGTTACAACTATGGATGATTGAGCACATTCATCATCACCCTTATGCAGTGGACTTTAAAGTAAAATGGAATGATTATATTAGAGCCCATGAGGAAAGAATCAACGATCATAGTTTTTCGAGAGGTGTTGAGGCTTAGAAGAAATTCCTCAATAATTGACTTATGACACAATTATGTGGAGTTATCATTCGTTTCCATCAGACGAGGTGATATAAATGTCTAACTTTTGATCATTCATCATCCTGATGGGTCTTTGAGGTGTCCAACCTTACATGTCACTTAGAGTTATGCGACAACTTGGTCGACGCCACTTTCCACCTCCTAATGAAGATATGTGGAAATTCATGTATGAGTTTCATCCCAAGATTCCTTTTAGGAAATCAAATATATTCATGATTTGGGGGGATGCATGCTCTCAAGTCCTCGCGATATGGTGCGCACCAAAGGTGAGGTGGACAAAGCATAATTAGAATGGGTTCATGATCATCCCTCTTCTAAGGTTGTGCCAAAATGATCGGTGGAAGGACTCGTAGATCGAGAAGCAGAAATTGAGGTTAGGATTAAGTAAGCTCGCCTCGAAGTTGAAAGATGCTATAGATTTACTCTGGAATCCTAAGTAATGATCTAAAGAATGCTAAAGGTGACTTTCCCAACGTGATAAGGATTAGAAAACACTATTCTACGATTCTGACCTTACAAGAAGACTTGGGCATTGCCACACGAGCTATGGAGCAACAGGAAAGGAGTATAAAAAAGAAAAGGTCCAGCTTATCTGTGCACAGTCTAGACTTCACACTCAAGTTAAGGCTTCTATGGAACGGAAAAGAGAAATAGCAAGGTGTTTCAGTGCTAATCAGACATAATGTGATATTGAGAGGGATCAAAGGATGATTGATCAAGAGGCACTCCACCTTCAAATTGAGAAGCTCCAAGGAAAAGGGGAGGATTTGACGTATGAAGTTAATACAACTCGACATTGGTTACAGAATTGTTATGACAGTATGAATGAAACCAAAGATCGAATATTGCAACTCAGGGATAAAGTCAATGATGTTTATGTTGGTTATCTACACCAGAATAATGAGAGGTTTGGCCAACATGCCCGTGCTCTAGCTCCACATCTACCGAAAGCCTTGGCTTGGATTTATAAGGGTCTTGGGGACGATTGAGATCAGAGGATTTTGTTTCCTTTCTAATCTATTTTCTTTTCTTAGTTATTAGTTATTGTTTTTTGTTTTTATTATTATTTTTATTTTATTTATTTTTAGTTAATCATTTTGAGTCTATCTTAGTATTAGGTAATTCTGTTTTTATGTTTTATTCAAATCATTATGTTAAAAATATTTGAAAATGGATGAAAAGATTTGCTTTTGATCAACTCATGTACATAAATTATTTTTAAAAAAATATTTATTATTAATATCTTTCTTGAACTATGCAGAAATCTGATTCGTGCCAACATGATACATAGGAAACCCAATGGATTCGATCAAAACCTTTAAAAATCACTAAAGAAGATAATAATGCCTAGGTAAGCCGAGATGAAACATGAGAGGTCTCCTATATTAGAAGAATGTATGTGGCTACAATGTGCACAATTTCTTAAAACTAATCCATTTGTTACTCCATTCAGAGAGAGAGAGAGAGACAAGAAAGAGAGACACGTTAGCTGAAAGGTGGTTGGTTTGTGGTTAAGCTGGCATCACATCCTTACAATACAAGGTCGAAAGGGCCCACAAAGATGGAAATGAATCAGACAATGATGACATCCGAAACCAGATGACTTCACAAGAAAAAAGGTCAACAGAAAAGATAAGGGCATTAAAACAATAATGGCAGAGATGTACGAGCCTTGGATAAGTGGAAAAAATCCACCGTATTTAATCCAGGATTATTTAGATACAAATATGTCACCCGCCATCCAGGTGTCGACAAGTGATCCAATCTATCTCCCTGGATTCGGCCACTATCTAACACATCCAATGTTGTTGGAATTTCTACAATGCGCCCTTCGAGTACCCTTATGATAAGTAACCCACTCTTCTTGTCAACTGCCTCGACTAATAGCGTCCTGCAACCAACAATGATGCCTAAATATAACAGCGATCCTCCGTCCAAAGTTCGTCACGATCATGGTTACGTTCTTAAAGAGGCAATTAAAGTTCCAAGATCTTATCCCCACATTCATCAATATAATTCCCCTATCAAAGTTGAAAAGATGGTTAAGAATGAGGAACATAAGAGATGGTTAAGAATGAGGAACATGAGAGATGTCTAAGAAAATGAAAAGTTTAGAACAGAGTATAAGAGATATGCAAGGACTAGGAGGCCACAAAGGTATCTCATTCAATGACTTGTGTATGTTTCCCCACGTTCATTTTCCTACTGGTTTTAAAACTCCAAAGTTTGAGAAATACGATGGTCACAGAGACCCCATAGCTCATTTGAAGAGATATTACAATCAACTGACGTGTGCATAGGGCAAACAAGAGTTGCTTATGGCCTATTTTGGGGAAAGCTTAGTAGGGATTCCATCTGAATGGTCCATAAATCAGGATATTTCCAACTGGCATACGTGGGATGATTTGGCTCGATATTTTGTGTAAAAATTTTCAATATAATATTGACATTGTGCCAGATCGCTCCTTGTAGCCAACATAAGGAAAAAGAATACGAATTTTTTTTTGTAAATATATCGTCAGATGGAGGGAGCAAGCTGCTAGGATTAAACCACCTATGAAGGAGTCGGAAATGATTGATGTGTTTCTCCAAGCACAAGAACCTGATTACTTTCACTATTTGCTTACTACCATCAGAATGACATTTGCTTAAGTTATTAAGGTTAGGGAAATAGTGGAAAATGATACCAAGTCTAGAAAGATTGTAAGTCAAGCTGCCTTAAATGTGACAAAACAAGTGCTTCAAAATATTTCTGGAAATATTGGAGGGAAGAAGAGAAGGGAGGATATAGCCATTGATGTATCAACGCCTCGAACTTATGTCTAAGATAATCCCCTGCAACACTAATTTCCTTCCCAAGCTCCACAATATTCCGTCCCATACTCTCCATATCCCCTTTTTAGCACACAATAAATTGCACCCTCTACTTATCCGCAATGGTGTGCACCAATTTCCCAAAATCATCCACCACCCCTACTCGTTCACCAAAATACTGCTAAAATTCCTTTTCGTCCTAAACCACAATACAAGAAGGGAAATGGTGCTAAAGATGAGTTCACTCCTATTAGGGAGTTATATGCTATCTTGTTTCAGAAATTAAGGACGTTGAATGTTTTGAGTCCTATTGAAAGAAAGATGTCAAATCCTCCGCCGAAAAATCAAGATTATTCTCAACATTATTCATATTATTCTAATGCCCCATGACACAACATAGAGAGATTTTGGTATTTGAAAAGGGTCATTCAGGATTTAATCGATGCTAATCAAATTATAGTTGAAAGTCTGAGTGGACCCAACATCAATCAAAATCCATTGCCAAGGCATACTGAAACAAACATGTTAGAAATGATGAATGGTCGCGACGAATTTGCGGTCCCGTATAAGCCAATCCTTAAGGTTGGAACTAGTATAGAAAATTTGGTGAATGTTGTTGACTTGACAAAAATGATGCCCTAGGGGGCGGAAAAGATGTCAGAAAAGTTGAGCCCATCAAACACACCCATCTTAACTGTGAAAGGAGCACTTGAAGATGTTTGGGTGAGTCAGAGTAAGACAAGATCGCTTGTTCCAAAAGTGCCAAACAAGTTTATCCTGACCTTGCAATGAGCCTATGTTCCTCCTATGATCACCAGTATCCCAACTTCCAATGACTAACCCTAATGATGTTCCTTGGAATTACGAGCCTATTGTCGTGACATACAAGAGGAAAGAAGTCGATGAAGAAATAGATGAAGTAGGAGGAATAGCCCATTGGGGAAGATGTTATGCCCCGACGGAATTAAGGAAAACTGAAAATGAGCAAGTGCAAGTCAAGAGTCCAGTCATTGAAGGAGAGGCAAAGGATTTCTTGAGGAAGATGAAATTATCAGACTACTCTATTGTAGAACAGTTAGGAAAATTCCTAGCCCAAATATGTTTATTGTCTTTGCTAATAGATTCTGATGAAAATCGTAAGGATGTAATGAAATTTTTTAATGAAGCACATGTTCCTAGTGAAGCTATAGTGAGTCAGTTAGAAAATATTGTTGGGAGTATATTTGAGGTAAACCACATCACCTTTTCAAATGATGAACTACCTATGGAAGGTACAAGACATAACCAAGGCTTCTACATCACTGTAAAGTGTGAGCTTTCATATGTCACTCGAGTTCTAATTGATGGAGGATCTGGAGCAAATATTTGGCATTTATCAACTCTACAAAAAATGAATGTTTGTGCTGAAAGGGTCTGACCCAACAATGTATATGTTAAAGCATTTGATGGGTCAAAAACAGATGTCAGATAGAGCTCTTACTAACCATAGGGCCTATCGATTTCACTGTGAATTTTCAAGTGTTGGATATCAATACATAATCTATTTTTGGGGAGACCATGGGTGCATAGAGCTGGGGCAGTCCCTTCACGTTGCATCAAATGATTAAGTTTGAATACAACCGACAAGAAGTGATTGTTCATGGTGAGGGGGACCTGTGCAGTCTACAAAAACTCTTCCCTCCCTTTTGTCAAGATAAATAATGAGAATGAGGCACCGGTTTGTCAAGATTTTGAGGAAGTGGTTGTTGAGCATGTCCTCAAGGGAATGTCATTTCAAAACCACAGTTGCCCATGGCGTCTGTGATGGTGGTAAATGA